ATTTTCCTTGCCTGTTTGCTGATGGCACCTTGTAAGTCACATGCCCGGTTTGCTGGCAAAACGACCAAACGGAGACTTCTTTCAACATGCCATGGCATACATGCTGCCTGTATGCACTGCCTCATGAGTTTTGCTTTCAAATTTTTCTGCTGTTGAGTTCGTTTGTTTCGTTCTGCTTAAATTGTGTTTTTGGTGGTCTCTTCTTCTGTTGCTGATCGGGGCCATTATGTGGGAAGGATTGAATGTGTCCGTCGCACTGTATGTCGGTCGCTCTCTCGTTCCGGGTATACAACCATATGTTCCTGTATTTCCTGTTCACCTTTGACATGAGTAAAGACCCGCCTGTTTTGTGCCAACCTGGCTTCCATCACAGCTGAGAGTGAAATGCCAGCCTGCCTGACTGCTCGCCTGCCAAATTGTAATTAATGCGAATGACTTGGCTGCAATGTCATGTAAAACTGTGTGCAGAGACAATGTAGGTGTAAACTCAAGTAAATTTTAATGTTCGTTGTCGTTTGTACTCTAACCCCAATAACGGGTGGCCACAATGGTGGATGCACGGTGTTTTGAACAAGGGAATATGGTGTTCCATGGTGTCCACAGCGGTAGTAGATATATAATAAATAGGTGACTTTGGAATTGTGTACCACAACTGCACGAAAAGTACTAAATAGTCCTATATTTGGTACAATTTGTTATTGGTTGAACATATAGTGCTTAAAATCTAAAATTTTATAGCAGGGTCGCTGTTCTCTGTGGACAGTGAAACAACTGACTGACTTACTGAACGAGAATTAACGCCCAGACGAAACGGCTGGAGCTAGGATCTTGAAATTTTGCGCGAGGATCAGTCTTAGAAATCCGTACTAAAGAGGTACTAAAGGACCTAAAATGTACTAAAAATGTAATACTTTGTATTTGACAAACGGAATGAGCTGGAATTGTGAAATTTTGACTGAGAGTCACTAATGGAGTGCATAATAAATGTGCCTTAGGGTTTTTGGATATGCGAACTTTAAGGCCACGAAAAGTTCAAAAATGGTACTAAACTTCGAAAATGGTACGATTTGATATTATGTGAATAAGTAGAAATAAGAACTTAAAAACTTGGTTTGAGAATAACGGTTGGACATTATGGTTTTGGAAATCTGTACTAAATGTGCGACTTGTACTACGTGGTACTAAATTTCAGAAATGGGATACGAAAAGTACTAGAAATTGAATGCTATTGAACAAACAGGATGAGAATAAATTCAAAAAATAAGAATGGGAGTCACTGATGAAGTGCAGGATAGATGTACCACAGGGTTTTTGGAAAGTCGAACATTAATGTTACGAAAAGATCTAAAATTGTACTAAGCTTCTTAAATGGTACCATTTGCTATTATGTGAACGGATAGAGCTAAAAATTTGAAATTTGATATGAGAATCAAGGATGGAAAGTATGTTTGATGTATGAGGGTGGTTTTGGAAATTGGAACAATAATTGTACGAAAAGGTTGAGCTGAAATTTTGAAATTTTGTATTGGGTTCCTTGTTAGTGGTTTGTTTGTGATGAAGAGGTGGTTTGAAAATTGGTACCACAACTGCACGAAAAGTACTAAATAGTACCATATTTAGTACAATTTGGTATTGGTTGAACAGATAGTGCTTGAAATCTAAAATTTTATAGCAGGGTCGCTGTTCATGTCTAGCCTGGACATATGGAGGTGGTTTCGAAAATGTACACTATAATTGTACGAAAAGTACTAAATGGTACTAATTCTGGCATTAGATCAAGGGATAGGGATAAAATTCTGAAATTTGATATTTAGATTACCACAGATGCCGGTGGAGATTTGGCGGTGGTTTGGGAATACGTCCCATATTTGTACGAAAAGTACTAAAAAAATTCCCAAATTTTATATTAAGATTACTTATGGTTACTAATTTTAAGATTTAGCGGTGGTTTGAACATGAATTCAATTGAGGTGTCTGTTGCTACCTGGAATAGAGATATGGGAGTGGGCTTGAAAATCTGTACCATAATTGTATGAAAAGTATTAAATAGTACCAAATTTGGTATTGGATGAAGGGATAGAGCTGGAATCCCGAAATTTGATAAAGAGGTAACTGTAAGTGTCTGCGTGTAAGATATTGAAGAGGTATTGGACATGTGTATCATAATTGTACGAAAAGCACTAAACGGTACTAAATTTATGATTTTGCGAAGGAATAGAGCTCGAACTCCGAAATTTAATGCTGAGACCTCTGTTGCTACCTGGTATAGAGATATGGGGGTGGTCTTGGAAATGTGCACTATAATTGTAAGAAAAGTACTAAGTAGTACCGAATTTGATATTGGATGAAGGGATAGAGCTGGAATCCCGAAATTTGATAAAGATGTCTCTGTTAGTGTCTGCGGGTAAGATATGAAGGAGGTATTGGATGTGTATCATAATTGTACGAAAAGCACTAAACGGTACTAAATTCATGATTGTGAGAAGGAAAAGAGCTGGAATTCCGAAATTTGATACTGAGGTCTCTGTTGCTATCTGGGATTGAGATTTGGAGGTGGATGAAGGGATAGAGCTTGAATCCCGAAACTTGATAAAGATGTTACTGTTAGTGTCTGCGTGTAAGATATGAAGGAGGTATTGACATGTGTATCATAATTGTACTAAAAACCACTAAACGGTACTAATTTCATTATTGTGTGAAGGAATAGAGCTCGAACTCCGAAATTTGATACTGAGACCTCTGTTGCTATCTGGGATTGCGATTAGGAGGTGGATATGGAAAAGTGTAATTTAATTGTACGAAAAGCTCGAAATACTGCTAAATTTGTTATTAAGTGATGGGATAAAGCTGGAATTCAAAATTTTGATATTGAGGTCCCTGTTTGTATCGCTGTTTGAGAGGAGGAACGGATTTTGTAAATAGTACTAAATTTAGTATTGGGGGAGGTATAAGGTTGGAAACCTCAAATTTGATATTCTGGGGTCCTGTTTGTATCGGTGGTTCAGAAGAGGAACGGATTGTGTAAATGTTTACTATAATTGTTCTAAATTTGATAATGGGGAAACTAAAGAGCTGAAATCCGGAAATTGTATGTAAAGGTCACTGTTGGTATCAGAGGTTGGGATATGAAGTTTAGTTTGAAAATTCGTACCATAATTATCCGAAAAGTACTTAATAGCTCCAGTTTTGGATCACTGTTGGTGGTTATGTGGAAGGTTATATATAGATTGTTTTAAATTTGATATAAGGTGTTGGGATTGAGGTAAAATTTTGAAATTTGCTATTGAAATCACTTTTGTGTCTAAGGATTTAAATGTGGAGACATTGAAATAGATTTTCCCAGAACAAATGGATATGTGCCCTTATTACAATGATTTTTCAAATATCCTCCTCGGAGAACTTCAAATTGAAAAACTTTTTGGTATAAAAAGTAAACATTTTCCTATTAAACTCTCTGAAAAAGAAAAAAAAAACTTAAATAATATAGAAAATCTTGAAAGACTGAAAATTTGATTCAAAATTTTATTAAACTGAAAAAATTGTGTATTTCGAGTACTAAAAAGGCCTGACACAAAATGTTGGAATGAATCTAAAATTTTAAGGTTGGCTTTTCGCTGACGAAGTAGAGGGCACTTTAAAGTAGAATTTCATTTTTAAAGACTTAACCCGAATTTTCTTCTTCCGAACCAAATTGAATTAATTCAAACACTTCTCACTTTGTACTAATGTGCCTCGGTAACTGCAAAACTCCCCCATATTCATGCTTCGATTGCATGCCCTCCCCACCCTTAACATCCATGGCAATTTTCTTCATGACCGGCTGTGTGCAGATCTTCCCCCGGAATGCATGTTATGCTGACCTATAATTCCTTTTTTTGGACATGAAAGGACAAGACATTCTCGGTGTTTCTTCTTCGTTCTTTGGAACTTCGAACTCAATGTCATTTTTGTCCTGTCTTATTTTTCATTTTTGGAAGGTATTTTGTCACTGCATCAAGAGATGAGTGTTGTTGCTTCCTACCAGAGTCTTACAAGTATTTATCTTTTATTGTTATCCTTTGTTGTTGCCTGGACGTTGTGTGTCTTCATTGTTTAAAGGTGGCGAGGGGCGTGGGAGTGTGGAGAAGGTTTTTTTTTTTATAGTACTGCAATGCATAGCAGTTGATGTCTTGTTTCTCTCTATCTTGTATCTTCTTGCTACTTGACATTTCCGTTCAATATATTTGCATTATTTTTCCTAAAGTCATGTAGGAGAGTTTTTTTTTTTGCATGTCGTCCTCTTTGTTTTTTGTCATTTTGCTTAAAGAACAAAGCATCCTCCGTCTGATGGCACTTGATATTGTGTCCAAGATTTTAAGATGACCCACTCACCATAGATCAAATAGTCTTGGGCTTGGACTGCTGTAAGAACAGAAAAAAGAAACACATTTCTCAGTGAAAGCCTTTAACTGCAGGTCACATTGTTTTTTTCTTTCTTCTGCATTGGGGATTTATTTTTTTTGAGCTCCGGACAGCAGATGACATATGGACCTGGTGGCAAAAAGGCAACATGAACCATGTATATTAAATAAATACGGCAAGGACATTAATTTCCCAGAAAATGTCATTTAAAACTGGACTAGGGCAAACTGAATCCTTTATTCTGTATTACAAAATCTGATATCCTTACAAAACACAATATCACTTTAATATTGTTATCCTTTATCCTTGTAGTTTTTAATTTAGTCCCACACGAAAAAAAATGAACTGTAATTATTTCCTTTGTCCAGTTCATGTTATTCTATTTCTTTTTTCCGTTTTTTTTTTTGTCGTTTCATTTCGGATATCATGTCCTGTCCATTTAGTTAACTTTACTCCACCACCGAATTTCATACATAAATTTACATTTCATTTGCAGTTTTCAGTGTCGATTTTTGTGATCTGATATTTTTGGCAATATTTTTTTTATTCACTTTTCTCATTTCTATGTTCTGTGTTTGTATCTCTCCTTTTTTTTGTAGAGTGGTGCTGGCAAATCAACTGCTCGCATTGGCGATGGTCCAATTTTGACACTGGAAAAAGTTGAACGTCAACAGGCCGGCATTTATCAGTGTACCGCAGATAATGGTGTTGGAGAACCAGTTAGTGTGGACATCAGATTGGATGTTTTGTGTAAGTAATAAAAAAGAAGAAGAAGAAAATATATAAATAAACATGAATATGCATGCACACAAATTTTTATATATATTGGAGAAATGTTGACAAACGAAAAAAATATTGAAAAAAGAGAAGTCCATATTTATTGTTTAAAATATTAAAATTAAAAAAAATGTATACAATAAGTCAGACAGATTAAGAATAATTTGTACGAGGTCTCTCTGGACAAGAACCTGGCCGATATTGTGTGCATTTTTCGAAAATTTCCAGGTACAAATTCAAAACCTTTTAAGAGTCTCCTCTTAACAAATTTTTGGTAGGTACAAATACTGTAAAATTAATATTAAATTTAAGATATTATCAAAATTTCTTGGATTTTTTTAATATTCCAAAAAAATTGATAATGTGTAAAATTAAAAAAAAAAAAAAACAAACAAATAAAAAAGCTGTAAGTACGGCCGGGCCGAACTTTGAATACCCTCCATCATTTGGTACAAATTTGGCATTTTTCAAAAAATTAAAATCCATTAAAAATTCTGTTCAAATCTTAAAAATACCGAATGTAGCCGTATATTAGGATCTATAGGACGACGTGGAACTGCATGTGCAACTTTTTTCATAAGCGTGCACAGACAATTTTCTGGCACAGGCTGTAGTATCCATTACGAACTTCAAATACAAAATTTAAAATAATCCTGGTAAATAATGTCCCTAAAATCATATATCCGGAGTACCGTCATATGGGGGCTATAAGTAGACGTGGACCTGCACATATAATTTTCTGTCTTAGGCTGCAGTATCCATTTCGAACTTCAACAACCAAATTTGAAACAATTCCGATGAAAAATGTTGCTAAAATCATCAAAATACCGAACATAGGGAGGTACGGTTATATGGGGGCTATACGAAGACGTGGACCTGCATTAACAATTTACTGTCACAGACTGCAGTTCCCATTACAAAAACCAAATACGTAATTTGAAATAATTTCGGTGAATAATGACGGTAAAATCTTCAAAATACCGAATATCAGGGGGTACCGTTATATGGGGGCTATACGAAGACGTGGACCTGCACAGACAATTTTCTGTCATGGGCTGTAGTATACATCACGAATTTCAAATACCAATTTTGAAACAATTCCGGTGAATAATGTCGCTAAAATCATCAAAACACTAAAAATCGGGGGGTCCCGTTCTATGGGAGCTATACGAAGACGTGGACCTGCACAGACAAGTTTCTGTCTTAGACTGTAGTATCCACTATAAACTTCAAATACAAAATTTGAAATAGTTCCGGTAAATAATGTCTCTAAAATCATCAAAACTCCGAAAATCGGGGGGTACCGTTATATGGCGGCTATACGAAGACGTGGACCTACATAGCCCATTTTCTGTCTTATGCTGTAGTATCCATTTCGAACTTCGAGTACCAAATTTGAAACAATTCCGGTAAAAAATTTCGCTAAAATCATCAAAATACCGAATATCGGGAGGCACCGTTATATGGAGGCTATACGAAGACATGAACCTACATGGCCCATTTTCTGTCTTATGCTGTAGTATCCATTTCGAACTTCGAGTACCAATTTGAAACAATTCCGGTAAATAATGTCGCAAAAATCATAAAAACACCGAAAATCGGGGGTACCGTTATATGGGGGCTATACGAAGACGTGAACCTGCACAGATAATTTTCTGTCTTAGACTGTAGTATTCATTGCGAACTTCAAATACTAAATTTGAAATAATGCGGTAAATATTGCCGCTAAAATCATCAAAATGCCGAATATCGGGAGGTAGGGTTATATGGGGGCTATACGAAGACTAGGTCCACGTCTGGCCCATTTTCTGTTCTATGCTGTAGAGTCTATTACGAACTTCAAATTTGAAACAATTCTGGTTAATAATGTCGCTAAACTCATCAAAATACCGAATATAGGGAGGTACTGGTATATGGGGCCTATACGAAGATGTGGACCTACATGGCCCATTTTCAATACCGAAAAAAATCAAAAAAGTCCTGCAGACATAATAGATATTTGAGTAAATTTTTATTAACTTACTTCATTTCGTTCGGAAGCTAGAGTGATTTCCACAGACGGACAGATGGACGGATATAGTTAAATGGACATAGAATTTTATGCTGATCAAGAATATATATACTTCGTGGGTTCTAAAAAGAATATTTCGAGGTATTACAAACGGAATGAGAAACTTCCTATGGTGGAGGGTATAAAAACTCAATATTTGTGCAGTGTAATATAAGTAAGTCCTTAGGAAAATTTCCTTCAAAATTCCTAATTACTTGGCATAAAGTTCCCAACAAAAAACCTTAAAACCCAACAAGTTGTTAGAATAAGACCCCTAAAAGTTTTCAATTTATACTTGGAAATCATTGAAAAATATTTAAATAATGTAAATTGTGGACAATACAAATCTGTAAATTGTATGAATAATTTTTGAAGACAAAAGAATATTTAAAATAAATGATCCTATATTCCCAACCCCAAACATTTTTTTAGACAACGATTTTCATTTAATTGCGGTGACACATATTTTTTTTAAATGTCATTCTTCCTTAAATCACTCAATCTCTTGAAACAAAACACGAGATGCTGTGGCGACATATCTTCTACCATTTTCAATTCTCAATTTTTCTTTTTTAAATACTGCGGTTATCGTTTACAATATCATTGTGTGTTCACAACAATTTCAAGCTACTTTAATGTTTGAAATATGTACTCCTAAATGCCATAGCTTTTTGTAACAGTTAGTCGCCCGAACCGAACCGACTGACTGACTTAACTATAAATTAGAACGAGTACATTGAATGTGTGTGTGTGTGCGTGTGTGTGTGCGCAGAGAAACCACAGAAGCGAAAGAAACGATGACAAAACTATTCAAATATATATTTCAGTTAACATATTGTACAGATTTACTAGCAGTGGCATGCATGTATGTGTGTCGTGTCGTGTTAAGATGAATGTCACAAACAATGGCAAATGTAGTGAAATATTTATTTCTTGCATATGGGACAATCCATGGAAAAATTGCTGGTTGATATAAAAACAATCAAATTGGAGTAAGAGATTATTTGTATACCCCCTATCATATGGCTAGAGAGGGTATATATCATTTAATACGGCCAAAACGTGCCTCATCGAAATAATGGTTTTAGACCCTAGGACTATTTGGATCAAATCCATTTCAGGACATTTGGAGTCGATCTAGTGATTTCCGTCTGTCTGTCTGGCTGGCCAATGCGCACGATAATTTTCGCAGGAAGTAACTGATTTGATCCAAACTTAGTGCATCGTAATGTTATTATCAAACTTATATCGAGTTTTGAGATGGGCAATATTGGTCCACTCCTTCTGGTACCTGCTCCACAAAATGTCGAAGTTTTAAAAGGAAATATTTTACTGTACGGAGGTATCCCGATTTTAATTCAACTTTAGAAATCCTATAATTTCCATCAGTTCTAGGTCCGGTGCGAAAATGAACAATATCGATTCACTCCATCAAGTACCTTCCCCACAAAGGGTCAAAATTTTGAACAATTTTTACTCTTTTAAAAAAGTGTGATGTAAGCGTCCGATTGTCTTCAAATTACACACATCACAATATTTTTATTAACGAAGGTCCGGTGTGAAGATGGAATATATTGGACCACTCCTTCTGGTGCCTACCACACAACGGGTCAAAATTTTGAATAATTATGACTCCCATAAAATAAAAAAAAAAAACATTCAATTTTCGTCATATTTGAGACATCCCAATATTTCTGCTATCACAAAATATATCGGATATATCGGTCAACTCCATCAAGTACCTCCCCACAAAGGGTCAAAGTTCTGAATATATATGAAGCTCATAAGACGTGAAATCAACATTCGATTCCATTCACACTTAGCACCGCTCAATATCTGTTATAAAAACACAAGATCTGTTATAACCTTCTGGTACCTCCAACACAAAAGGTCAAAGTTTCGAATAACAAAAACGATTATTAAATCTTAAATAAGCAACCGGTTCTCTTCATATTTCACGCATTCTCTTCATATTTCACGCATTTCTAATAAAACAAGATGTGCTGTGAAGATTGGCAATATCGGTACACTGTTTCTGGTACCTCCCCACAAAGGGTCAGAATTTGGCATAGCCATGAAGTTCGTAAAACTCGAAATTAACATCCGATTTCATTCAGATTTGACATATCTCAATAATTCCATCAACACAAGATCTGTTATAAATATGATAGAGACCGGACCACTCCCTCTGGTACCTCCCCCACAAAGGGTCAAAGTTTCGAATAACAAAAACGATTATTAAACCTGAAATAAGCATCCGGTTCTCTTCATGTTTCACACATCCCATTATTTCTTCTAACACAAGATTTGCTGTGAAGATGGGATATATCGGACCACTCCATCTGGTATCTCCCCACAAAAGGGTCAGAACTTGGAGCATGTAAAACGAGAAGTAAGGATCTGATTCTCTTTAAATTTCACACATCTCTATACTTTTACCAACATAAAATCTGCTGTGAAGATAGGATATATAGGTCCACTCTTCCTGGTACCATCTCCACAAAGGGTCAACATTTTGATTATCTTGAAGTCATGAAAATCAAAATTAACATCCAATTCCATTTAGACTTGGTACATCTAAATATTTCCATTTACACAAGATCTGTTATAAATATGATGGGGATCGGACAACTCTTTCTGGTACCTCCCCCAAAAAGGGTCAAAATTTTAAACACCCTTAAGCTCATTAAACGCGAAATTAGCATCCGATTCCATTTAGCCTTGGAATGTTATAAATATGGTAGATATGGCACCATGTGTTCTGGTATCTTCCTCTCAAAGGGTCCAAGATTTTGAAAAATAAGAATCTCAAAGATCTCTTGTAACCATGACATATATCTGTATGAGCGGAGAGCTACCACCGGCTGTTATGGCGGCCCACACCATCACCATGGCCAGCACTTGAGTTCTGGTGGCCAACCGAAGGTGCACATTTTCACCTGACCTCTTTGGCAAGTAAACACGATCATTTTGTTTGTTTACAAACTGCTGGACAACGAATTTTTTCTCATCGGAGCGGAGAAAACCAAATTAGGCAGTTCACTACTTTTGGCCAAGCGAAGCAAATTTTTAGCTCTTTAGAGTCTATTTTCTTTCTGTTGCGGTGTAAGTTCTTGCACATTTTGGAATTTCAATGGCTTAACCCCGAGTTCATTTTTCAATATTTGATGAATGGAATATTGCGATATGTTCAGCTCAAGAACCATTTTTCGGCCACTGCGACGCGGGTTTCGATCAAGTCGCTTCTTTACTTTTCGAACTATTTCTGCTGATGTTGCTGTTTACTTCCGTCCACTTCCTTGACGTCGGGCTACGCTACTAGTATCACAGTAACGAGCGATGATACGAGATACAAAAGATTTATTCACATTTAAATGCTGGAGTGCTCTAACGGTTAGCCGCTTGTGGTTTCCCAGCCAAATATAAAGAAATCACCCTATCACGCTTGAATTCCTTCACGAATAACTTTTTTCTTGTTGTTGCAAAATGGTCTGGATTTATCGCTTTATTGTTGTTTTTATAAAAACAACGTTTGTTTATTAGTGGAGAACGATGGTAATGTTTACCAGGGGGTAAGGCAGGGAATACCTAGGTTTCGGAAAGAGCCACCAATCCTCATCAGTTCCCTTGTTTTTGTCTGGGATATTCTCCCCAGAAGTTATTTTAAAAATAACTTCTATGACAAAACACATTTTTTACCCAAGTGACGAGATCGTAAGCTCAATAGAAGAGGAACCAAAGAATTAAAATTCTCACCAAAATGCTTTTGTACACTTGTAAACAATATAATAAGCTGTCACTGGAATAATTTTAACAGCTGTCGAACAAGTGGCTTAGAAATGACAGCAGTTTTGCAGTTGCAGTCTTTCATCTTGCCCTGTATATCATATTTATTTAGGAAAAATTTCTCTCTTTCACTCTCTCTCAAATATATTTTCAAAAAAAAAAATCGACAATTTGAAAAAAATCAAAAAGAATTTTTTTCTGAAATTGCCCACATCTCATCTACTCCCTCATACAAACACATATATATATATGTGCCATACTCAACCGCAAAACCATGAACTACTACTAAAATACAGTATTCCCCTATTATTTCTTTCAAATTCTCCAACTGCTGCTACAAACTACCACACACAAATACATTCACGTAATTCTATTGTCTGCACATTTGTTTGTAAGTTATATTGCAATTTTTATTCGTACAATTTACAAAAGAAGATAAATGTAAATATAAATTAAGTATGAAATACTGAACTTAGTCGAGACAGCATATTTTATGACAAAACAACAATAACAACGACCACAACGAAATTTAGAGAAGATGCAAACTAGAACAAAAATACGATTTGCATCTTGGAAATTATGTGGTTCAACAAATCTAAAGTAGAACGACATAAACTTAAATATAACTGCAGTGCTTACATTGGAAAAAAAAGGAATGCCATTCATAACTATTGATGCATTACTAATAATAATAATAATAATGAAAATAAAAAATAATAAATCTCATCATCATCGTTGCTTCGGCTGCCGAGACAAATGCAGACAAAACGAAAAAAAAAACATATTCAAAATCATATTTCAAATAAATGCCATTTCTGCTTGAATAATTTCAATCAATTTTCAAGAAAGAAATGCCAAAAAAGAAATTGCTGACTCAGAAAATGTAATGAAAATGAATGACTATTTTCCTCTTTATTCTCCGTATTATTATTAATAAATGAAATGCATATCTTCTAGCTGTTTGTGTTTAGTATTCTTGAGCTTTTCAAGTTATTTGTTGTAATTAATGTTGGCCAAAAATTTGCACATATCATTTACAGATCCCCCAGACATTCAAGTGGAAAAATCATGGATACATTCCGGCGAAGGCTTTGAGGCGAAATTAGTGTGTATCGTGTATGCGGATCCAATTGCGTCGGTAAGTTGAAAAAAAAATTTTTTTTAATATTTTGCCTTAACCGTATTTCTAATAACGTAATGGAATTTATTTTATATAATCTCGAGAGAATATTAAAAAAAAAACAAGTAAAAAAAACTAAGTTCGGCCGGGCCGAACTTTTAATATCCTTTACCATATGGTAAAAGGTCAATGTTTAATGTTCTGCCACCGGGCTAGAATCCATTAAGAAATACAAACACCAGTTTTTACACAAATACTTTGAAAAAATATAGAGTATCGGCAGGTACCGTTATGTGGGAGCTATACCAAAACGTGGACTTATACATACAATGTTTCGGCTCAAGAGCTAGAGCCCATTATGAACTACAAATACCAAATTCTGGACCAATCCGTTAAAAAATGTGGCAAAAATTATCAAAACACCGAATATCGGGAGGTACCGTTATATAGGGGCTATACCAAAACGTGGATCTATACCTACAAAGTTTCGCAACACAAGCTTGAACCAATTTTGGCGGTTCAGATTTTTATATTTTTTTCGATGTACATCTTTTAAATACGATTTTGCGGTTATTATGAGCCATATGTGTAATATCAGCCCAAGGTGGATAGATTTTCATATTCAACCGAATTTTTCCATTTGGTGGTCAGGGTATTATGTCTTTGTGCATTTGTTTGTAACAGGCAAAAGGAAACGACCCCATCTGAGTCGATTTATATATGTCCGTCCGTCTGTCCCTATCCAGATCAAATTTTGCCCAAATCAGTTGTTTTGGACGAACCTTATTGAAATTGGAGATAATCGGTAAAAATTTAGACATAGCTCCCATATATATCTTCGTCCGCTTTGCCTTTTATTGTGCACAGAACGTGTTATATCAGCCCGAATAGTATGGAATTTTGCATATACAACCAAATTAGGCCTGAAAATAAGTATGCCAAATTTGGATCGAAATCGGTTCAGATATAGCTAAAACTCCCGTATATATTGTTAATCCGATTTGTTATTTCTGTCCTCCACAACCGTAATATGCACTCTGTAACAACAATATTTGGGGAAATATATCAAATACAGCTCAGAAATACCTCTGCTAAATTTTATCGAGATCGGTTCAGATTTGGATATAGCTCCTATGTAACTTCGTTCGATTTACCTTTTATTGTGCGGCAAACGTCTAATATTTGTTCAAATGGGATGGAATTTGGCACTCACGACCGAATTGAGTCTAGATGGTAGTATGTCAAATTTGGTGAAGATCGGTTCAGGTATAGCTATAGCTCCCATATATCCTGTTAATTCAATTTGTTATATTTGTTACCCACAGCCGTAATATGCACTCCGTAACAACGATATTCAGGGAAATATATCAAATACAGCTCAGAAATATCTTTGCCAAATTTTATCAAGATCGGTCCCGATTTGGATATAGCTCCCATATATATCATTATCAGATTTCAAATTGTGCACCAAATGGGCAATAAAAGTCCGAATTTAAAATATAATAATTCGGCATATTTAGTCCTTTGAATTTTAAATTATAATTAAATCATAGCGTATATGATTGAGTTCTCCAATAAAAAAGTTTAATTGTTATGCGGAGCTCTACTAAATTAGCAAAGTGTTGTAGGGAATCATAAAGTCGACCCCGCCCGACTTTAAGACTTTCTTCACTGGTTTTAATATAATTCATATATAATTCATATTATGCACTATACGGCAATGTTAGTTGGTACTAGAGGTACAGAAGCCTCCGTCAAAGATGTTGAAAATCGTTTCAGAATTGGATATAGTTCCCAAATTGTAACTCTCCTAAAGCCATGGTACGCATTTAAATAAGGTTCAAAGTTGTAGGATCTACTTTACATACATTCCCACTTTGTTACGGAAGCTCTACTAAATACGCATAGTGGTATAGGGTGTCATATAGACGGCCCCGCCCGTCTTTTCATCTTTCCTTATTGTTTTTTTCTTGTAGGTTTGCGAACTTAAAATAGCAATTTTAAGAGAGCTATAAAACGTATGTTGTACCGTAAAAAATTCAGGAAGTTTATACGAAAAAAAAATCATGCCAAAGATGGTAAAGTACAAATTGCGAGTTCCAAATATCAATAATTTGAAAATTTCGTTGGAAATCGTGGCTAATATTATCAAAATACCGAATATCGAAAAGTACTGGGTGTTCTACATACACAACATGAATCCATATAGAGAGTTCTTTTCGAAAAAGTTTTATCGCTTGAAAACTTAAAATTTCGATTTACTGCGGGTTTGGTTGGAACATGCGACTAAAGCCCCAACAATACCTCAAGGGCCCCTTTTTTCGACCATTTTTATACCCTCAGCCATGTGGCTATATATCATTTGATACGGCCAAAACGTGCCTTGTCGAAATAACGGCTTTAGACCCTAGGTGTCTTTGAACCAAATCCGTTTCAGGTCATTTGGAGTCGATTTAGCGATATCCGTCCGTCCGTCTATATGTCTGGCTGATTCGCACGATAACTGCATTTTCAAAACATTTAAAAAAATACTACTTTATTTTCCTGATTTATCTTTATCTTTGGATGCGGCAAAATCGATATTTCATAACTACATATGAACCTTAATATTTCAAAATTTCAATTCATTGATGCAAATTTAAATATTCTTTAAATTCCTAAATTGTTTTCTAATATTCGAGGATTATTTTTAAAAATGATACCTCAATTTAAAATTTAATTTGACTTTTGCAAACATAATAACAGCAATTAAAGTCTCCTTTAATTGTCCACCTGCCGTGTGCTAGGCTGTTTATCGCAAAAATTTAGGTCAATGCAGGTCGAGAAGATAATTTATTAAATTTTAATTTATCGTTTATTTATTGCCTTCGTCATCATTAACTTTGTTGGGCAAAAATGTTTTGCAATTAATTGTGTACGTCTGCAGTTTATACCACATTTTTGGTGGTGTGAGTGTGTGTGTGTGTGAGTTTTTTCCCATTGTGTTGATAAACACTTATTATGTGTACGAGCCGCTGTTGTTGTCTTTTTTTTAAAATATACTTTGAAATTTATGTACAAAACCGGTTAATGACATTTTAATTAATTGCTAACGATTTAAGTTTATTTCTCATATATCAGGATAATATAAACTGTTTGTCGCCATGTGTATACTCTGGCGCTCTCTTTCTCTACCGCTCTCCCTCCAATCGTCTCTCTCCATCTCTCTGCTCATATGGAGGCAATCCATGGTACAGCAAATAAATACGAGTGGAAAATATTTATTATCATTGACTCATGTTTATGTTTGCGTTTGGAAAAATGTGATTCTGTGATGTGATATAACACTATGTGTGGCGATTTATCTTAATGACGATTTATATCCTTATTGGTATATGTATGTGTGTTTATATTTTTGTGAGGTTTTTACTCTGGCCATAAGTTATATTTGATAATTTTCAATTTCCATATTTAATATTTGTGAGTCGGTGTTATTGCGTGTCATTAAAAATATAATTTATAAAAATATGTTTGTTTACAGCCATTGCGCGTTAGGTTGTTTAAAAATGTGAGGAAATATGTATTTAGCTATCGTAGGGGTAAATAATAATTTAGGTCACAGATATGAAAATGATTAATTATGACTGTTTTGAGTTTAAATAGCACAGTTTTTATCACTTTAGACTTGAGAAGTTTTACAAAAAAAAAAACCTAATTTTAAATACAAAATTAATATTTTTTTTATTAATCTGTCCTTTCGCCAATTTTAAGAAAAAATAACAAGGGTGATGCAAGTCAACATAATTAACCCATTTTGATACCATCCACCATAGTATGAAGGGCATATTATGTTTGTCATCACGTTTGTAACTCCCCGAAATATCCATTCTATACCCCACAAAATATATATAATCATGATCAGCTTAGAATTTTATGCCGAATTAGCCATGCCAGTCTGTCTCTCAGTCCTCCTGTAGAAATCACTTTCATTTTTTACGGAACCGAACCGTGAGTTGAAAAAATTGCATTCAAATGATTTCAGCTTAGTAAAATATTTGGTATTAAAATATGTCGTATTTGTCCACGTTTTGTTGAGCCTCCAAAATAATATATATTTTGGTTTAGATGCCATATAATCGTGCCACGAAATATTCGGTATGTTGATTATTTGTGTCACACTTTTTATCGAAATGTTTTGAAATGTTGGTTTAATTAATTGCAGATTGGTTAAACATTTTGTAATTATAGTTTGCAATAGGTATTACCTAATATTATCACAAAAGGTATCACTACCTTAAAATTATTAAGATACTGAATATAGGGTATATTAATAATTTTAATCGCATTTTTCAATTTTTTTATACCCTCCAACTTTGTCAATCCGTTTGTAACATCAGTCGATTTAACGATGACCGTCCGCCTGACTTGGCATCGTTTGTCTGTTGAAATCACGATACAGCCCACATTTTTTTTTAATCGAGCGTCAACATTTAGCAGGTCAATTGTGTTGTGTCGATGATTGGTATTAAAAATGAGGCATATGGTTTCACGTTTTTGGTATAGTCCCCATATAACGGTACATCCCCGATATTCGGTATTTTGATCGTTTTTGTCACATTTTTTAACGAATTTATCTAAAAATTGGCATTTGTTGGTAATAATGGGTTCTAGCTCCGGTGGCGAAACATTGTATGTATAGGTCCACGTTTTGGTATAAAGGTACCTCGCGATATTCGGTATTTTGATGATTATTTTTTTTTTTTTTGTCTAAAAATTGGTATTTGTTGGTCGTAATGGGTTCTAGCTCCTAGCATGTGTAGGTCCACGTTTTGGTATATCAACCATATAACGTCACGTTCCGATATTCCGTATTTTGATGGTTTTTGTCACATATTTTTTTCAAAGATTTGGTATTTGTTGTCATAATGGGTTATAGTTCCGGTGGCAAAAATCGTATGTATAGGTCCACGTTTAACGGTACCTCCCGATATTCCGTATTTTGATGATTTTTGCCACATTTTCTCACGAATATGTCTAGAAACTGGTGTTTGTGGGTTATAATGGGTTCTAATGTTTCCTTTACCCTAAGGTGTAGGGTAATACAAGTTAGGCCCGGCCGAACTTAACGTTTTTTTTTTTTTTTTGTTTTTTATACCCTGCACCATTAGTTGGTCAGGGTATTATTTCTTTGAGCATTTGGCAAAAGGAAACGATATAGAACCATAATTCCTTTTGATGATCTGCATAGAATCACATTCTGAGTCGATTTATGCATGTCCTTCCGTCAGCCCGTCTGTCCATGTTTTTTTTTATACAAAGTACAGGTCGTATTTATTTCCCGATCCAGATGAAATTTTGTACAAATAATTGCTTTGTCCCAAGGATGAACCCTATTGACGTTGGAGATAATCGGCCAAAATTTATATATATCTTCGTCCGATTTGCCTTTTATTGTGCACCACATGTGTATTATTAGCTCCAATAGGATGGAATTTGGCATTTGCGACGAAATTGAGTCTAGAAACAAGTATATCACATTTGGTGAGAATCTGTTCTGATATAGCTATAGTTCTCATATATATTGTTCATTATTTACCGGAATTGTTTCAAATTTGGTATTTGAAGTTCGTTATATACTACGTCTTCGCATAGCCCCCATATAACGGTACCTCCCGATGTTCTGTACTTTGATGATTTTAGCGAAATTATTTACTGGAATTGTTTCAAATTTAGTATTTGAAGTTCGTAATAGATACTTCGGCTTGAGACAGAAAATGGGCAATGTAGGTCCATGTCTACGTATAGCCCCCATATAACGGTACCTCCCGATATTCTGTATTTTGATGATTTTAGCGATATTATTTACCGGTCCATTGTAGGTCCACGTTTTATAACACCCATGGTACCTCCCTATATTTTGATGATTTTAGCTACATTATAAACAGATTTTTTTTTTTAAGTTTCAAATTTGAATATTGTAATAGCTTGTGACAAAGTTGCTTATGCAGGTCCATGTCATCGTATGGACCCTAATATACGACTACATTCGGTGTTTTTAAGATTTTAACAGAATTTTTAATGGATTTTTTTTTTTTTTTTTGAATTGCCAAATTTGTACCAATTGGTGGAGGTATTCAAAGTTCGGCCCGGCCGAACTTACAGCTTTTTTTACTTGTTTGATTTTACAATAAATCACTTTTGGTTCAATATCTATCATTCTGCTTACTTCTATGTGTTCATATATTCAATAATATGCACCTATCGATTATCACAATATTTTTTATAACCCACAAGTGTATCCTTAACTTACTTTCAGGTTTCATGGTATCAAAATTCATTTTTGATACAGTCAACTGATAGGCGCATTATGTCATCGAGAGGAAATCGTCACACCTTAACCATACGGCACATTCAACAAGAAGATTTTGGCAACTACAGGTAAGTGACAAAAGTTTTCGTTTTTTTTTTCGCATTTTCTCTAACATTTATTTAGGATTGCGGAAAAAAGAGAAAATTTAAACTACGGAAAGAAATCCCATACATATACTGATCATAGAGTTAACTTCCTTAAAAACTTCTCCATAAAATGAGATTAGAATCAAAAGAAGCAACGCCCTTATCCTTTTTCCAAAAAATAATACACATATCCTTTTAATATGTAATGAAGTAACCTTCTGTCAATAGTTCGGTGATTTCCAGCAACCATAACATGTCTAATACTTTTCCTCCTAAGAGTTCTTCTTCGCTTTTGGGTTTCCTCAACAAAAAAAAAAAAACCTAACCAGCATTTCTTTGGACTTGTCACCCTTGTCCACATGCCGTTTTAAGTCACACAAGAATAACTTTATTTTATTCCTTTTTTTTTTGATCTGTTCATTTTTGTTTTAGGGTTATCGTTCGTTTAATTTGGTTTCGTTGTCAAGTTGTTTAGTCCCTCTTTTTGTTTGCCAGATTTTCTTTTTCCTGAGAAAATTATACAAAAACAAAAGAAAAACTTACAGTTGCTATTTTTACCTAGCCTTTCAGGTTCACCACAATCGTGTGTGCTTTTGAAATTGAAGATTTGGGATTGTTTCTTTTCTTTTCATTTCTCCGAGTGTGTGTGCTGTCAGTTAGTCAGTCATTTTGTTGGTTTTTTTTTGTGATTTTTGTTGTTGCTGTTGTTTATCCCATCTCCGTTTTTTTTTTTTTGTTGCTTCCCAGCATGAAATCCCTGTTATACAGTTACATCAATGTCAATCTGTCGAAAACATATTAAATTTACGGAAGTAGCCAAATGTTATCTGTGTAGGTCGTTTTTTCTGTGTCTGTTAATGTTTTGTTTGCTGAATGACAAAATACACATACACACATACATACTCGTGTTATCATACGTATGTTAGCATATGAATTCACCTGTATTAAGAGCCCATCACCGACGATTCCGTCGAACGATGATAAATGAGGTACATGCAATAAGGCAGGTGATTAAATTTCTAGGAATATCTTATCCTTATTTGCCGAGATTATTTTTACGGGGGGGTTTAATGTCGTTGAAAAAAATTGGAGAGGGATTTGAGATTACAGTTTTTCAATGAATCGAGATTATTTTTAACTTTGGTAAGAAATAAAATGAAATTCGTTTTAAAAACAATCTTGAGAATCACTTCGTAACAACATAACGTACATCATTTATTGGTATTCAATGATATCTTATATTGAATAAAATTCCCGAAAATAAAATATATTTTTTTCTTCAAATTGAAAAGAAGGGAAGCAAGTTAAAATGCAGTAAGTTCGGCCGGGCCGAAATTTGAATACCATCCACAATTTAGAAATTTTCAAAAAATAAAATCCTTAAAAAAATTCTGTTAAAATTTAAAAACTCCGAATGTAGCCGTTATATTGGGGTCTATGCGACGTGGACCTCTATAGGCATTGCTTGTCATAAGCCATTACAATATTCAAATTCGAAGCTTAAAATAAACGGTGAATGATGTAGTTAATATAATAAAATATCGTATATAGGGAGGTACCCTTATATCGAAGCTGTGCGAAGACCTGGACCAGCATAGACAATTTTCTGTCACAGGCTATAGCATCCATTACAAACTTCAAATACAACATCTCAAACAATTTCGGTTTGTATTGTACCTAAAATAGTCAAAATACCGAATATATGGTGGTACTGATATATGGGGCATATACGAAGACCTGGACCTGCATAGACAATTTTCTGTCACAGACTGTAGTTCCCATTACGAACTCTAAATACGTAATTTGAAACAATTCCGGTCAATAATGATGCTAAATTCATCAAAATACGGAATATCGGGAGGTACCGTTATATGGGGGCTATACGAAGACGTAGACCTGCATAGACAAATTTTTGTCACAGGCTTTAGTATCCATTTCGAACTTCAAATACCAAATTTGAAACACTTCTGGTTAATAATGTCGCTAAAATCATCAAAATACCGAGGTACCGTCATATGGGGGCTATACTAAGACGTGGACGTGCACAGATAAGTTTCTGTCTTAGGCTGTAGTATCCATTGCGAACTTCAAATACCAAATTTGAAACAATTCCGGTGAATAATGTCGCTAAAATCATCAAAATACCGAATATCGGGAAGTACCGTTATATGGGGGCTATATGAGAACGTAGACCTGCATGGCCTATTTACAAGCTTAACCTGCCTACTGGAAAAATAAACATGTGTCCAAAATGTTAGCTTCTTTCTCAATTCGATCGAAAGATAGCGTGATTACAACACACAGACAGACGGACATCGCTAATTCGACTTAGAGGAGTTACCAACCGGATGACAAAGTTAATATACCCTCCTTAGTATGGTGGAGGGTATAAAAAGTCCAAATTAAAAGTCCATATGCTATCTAAAGGGTAGACTTGTGTCAATCAAGTTCGATTGAATGAATTAGTTCCTTATCTAGTTCCGTGGAATCGAGTCGTTTGTATGACGACTCTGCGTATGAGTGATACGAAAAATATGAAATCGCGCATACGTTTAGGAACTGCTGTACTAAGGCATGAAATAGATTGACACAACTCTGCTGAAGGCTACGACTTTGGTACTATGGTATGGTAAGGTTGTGCTGCCACCTGATTACAATTTGTTTCTAAGTGTGTCCGACTTCTGTAAATTTTCATGTAATTGAAAGATTGAACAGTTTGGATCATATGTTTGACAGAAAACCGAGCTTTTTCCTCTGTTAGTACTTTTTGTATAATTATAGTACATATTTCCAAAACCACTTTCATATATAAAATGCAGACACAAAGAGTGACATCCATATCAAATTTTCGGATTCCAACTCTATCCCTACACCTAATACCCAATTTATTACCACTTTGTACATTTTGAATAATTATTGTACATATTTTTATAACAGTGACTTCTGTATCATTTTTTTTTTTTTTTTTGTTTTCTATTCGGTACCTTTCGTACATTTATAGTACCCGTTCGCAAAATCATATCCATATCTTATTTCTAGGCACCAAAGAGACTTCAATATCAAATTTGAGGATTCTAGCCCTATCCTTTCGCCTAATACCAAACTTAGTACCACTTAGTACCGTTCTTACAATTTTATCATTTTTTTATTTTATTTTTTTTTATCTCATTTCCATATCTTAATATCAGATACCAACAGAGACATCAATTCGATTCAACTTCCACCCTAATTTTCCAAACAGGAATGACTCGATAGCTCTCCTACACAAAACAGTACAGCTTGCGAGCAAAATTCTCTCCCGAGTGAATACGATCAAATTTGTGCTCTGGCCACAATACCGGGACGTACGCCGAGGAGGTCTAGGAAACAGTCACTTTCCTCCTATATGTCGTAGCGCCCATCAATTAGTCAGCATAGGGTATAAAATCGATTTTCTGATGGGGAATAAATTAGTCCTATCAATTGATACAGCTAGAAGATTGGTCGTAAAATAATGTCCATCTATGATTCGGACCAAGAAGCTGTTCTTCGGTACACTACCTCTCTTCATCTCTCTATACTAAAACGCTCAAATTTATGGCTTTTTGTACCCTCCACCATACTATGGAGGCTATATTAACTTGATCAGCGTAAAATTCTAAGTTGATTTAGCGATGTCCGTCTGTCTGTCTGTCTGTTGTAATCACGCTATCCTTCGAATGAATTGAGATGGAAGGCTAAAATTTTAAACACATATTTATTTTTCCAGTAGGCAGGTTAAGTTCGTAAATGGGCTATGTAGGTCCACGTTTTCATATAGCCCCCATATAACAGTACCTCTCGATATTCGTTATTTTGATGATTTTAGCGACATTTTTCACCGGAATTGTTTCAAATTTCATATTTAAAGTTCGTAAGAGATACTACATCTTAAGACAGAAAATGAACTATGTAGGTCTACGCCTTCGTATAGCCCCCATATAACGGTACCTCCCGATATTCAGTATTTTTATGCTTTTAGCGACATTATTCACCGGAATTCTTTCAAATTTTGTACTTGAAGTTCGAAATGGATTCTACACCCTAAGACAGAAAATTTTCTGTGCAGGTCCGCGTCTTCGTATAGCCCCCATATAACGGTACCTCCCAATATTCGGTATTTTGACGAGTTTAGCGTCATTATTTAACTGAATTGTTTCAAATTACCTATTTAGAGTTTGTTATGGGAACTACAGCCTATGCCAGAAAATTGTCTATGCAGGTCCAGGTCTTCGTATAGGCCCCATATATTAGTACCTCCCTATATTCGGTATTTGACGATTTTAGGCACAATACCCACCGAAATTTTTTAAGCTGTGGTATTTGAAGTTCGTAATGGATGCTACAGTCTGTGACAGAAAATTGTCTATGCAGGTCCAGGTCTTCGCACAGCTCCGATATAACGATACCTCCCTATATACGATATTTTGATGATTTTAGCTACATTGTTCACCGTTTATTTCAAGTTTGGAATTTGAATATGGTAATGGCTTATGACAAACAATGCCTATGTAGGTCCACGTCGTATAGGCCCCAACATAGCGGCTATATTCGGTATTTTTAAAATTTGAACAGAACTTTTTAAGGATTTTCTGGTAGAGTTCATGCTAAGGCATATTTCAATTTTAGTTTTAATGGTCTGGAATGTCTGGAAATACTTTTGCAAAATGTGAAATATACGGGAATATAGAAAGCTATTAAAACCATTTTTGGATATGCTTAGATTAATTCAGTTCTAGTTTTTTTGCGTAATGGAGACCAGTTCGATCACCTTTTATATAACAAAATTCGTCATTCATTGAATTTGAATTCAAAACCAGAACCAAAATTACTTCTCCTCCTAATTTGTTCGCTTAACTTTCATTGAAGCAAAAAACTTTATCTTCAACTTTTCTTTCATGTTTCGGTAATTTAATTCTTTATTTTTTTCTCTTCGAATAAAACCAAGTTAGAAAAGCCCGCAT